TTGAGGCATTTATTATGTCCTTTCAGCGGTTCGGACCACGTCAAAAGCCCCGCCAAAGAGTTTATCAGCAAGAAGCGTAACGCAGTGGGTTTCCTTCCTCCCAGGCCTCTTGTGTTTCCCCTTTTTCGTTCTTTTCTTTCCCCGATTTCCCAGACTTTTCACCGCGTTTTCCCCTGTTCCACCTTGTTGCTGGCTTGGACCGTTGTTCGTTCTCGCCTCGGGGCTTTACTGTACGCGCTTAAGGCTAACGCAGACATATGCAACGGTCCCAGTTCCAGTGCCAGGATCCGGAATACACCACCCAGCCTGCACTGGCAGTCTTTCATTAAAATTTGTTCGCTGTTGGCTTTTATTAAATGAATATCCATCCACCACCCGACGGGGGGAAAATCTCTTCCGCAAATGGAAAGCAATCAGAAAATGTTACCGTTGTATGGGCACATACATTTAAATTACTCGAAAGAGTTGGGCCGCATATTGTGCTGAAAATTACTCAAAGTGCAAAAGAAACGTGATCTTCAATGGGGGGCTTGTATTTTTTAAGGTTCTTATGCGTATTGGTTTTTGCCATTCTTGATGGCTTTTAATATTGACAGAAATTTAAGGCAATTTCCTCTCGCAACTGAAGCCCTCGAAAATTTATTGAGCTCAGCGTTTGGCTTTTCTCTAAGTAGCTGCATTACCAAATCGCATTTCCAATACTCCGCGGGAAAGTGGATAAGAGAGCTTACTGCACTGGCAATCTTCTTAGCAATTAAATTATTTCTGGTTGAAAGCTTCACAGCGAAACGAGATGATGAGCTGAATTAGCAAAATTATACCAAAGACAAATTCAAGATTTCGGTGCTTAGTTAATTATTTTAACTTCAATAGGTTTTGGAGAAGAAAGTTGTTTAATAAAGAAATCCTAAATAAAAAAGTTAATGTAAGTTTCGCAATAATTATTATTTTATTTGTGTACGTATGTAAATATTATTTGAATTATTATAATTATCAAATTTATTCTTTTAAATTTATTTTATTTGTGTACGTATGAACATATATATTATTTCAAATTTTATAATTATCAAATTTATTCTTTTAGATATATGGTTCTACTAATATTTGTAAAATTGTTTATTAATTTTCATGGACATCAGCATATAATAAATGTATAAAGGAACTAAAATAACTCACACAAATTTCAATCTGTAAAGTGCACCTTTAGTAGGCTTTGGGCTGAAGGCTTTGCCAGCTGCAATGCAGCTATATAGGCTTAATCGTTAGTGAGCCTTCACTTATATACTAATGAACCAATCCTTGGACCATAACACCAAATCCGATAACCGCTCTGGACACCGACACCCAGGGGCATTAAATGTTGACCCTGAGAGCAGAGCAAACATTAATTTTAGTGAGTGAATGTGTGGGATATGTGACCCAAAAATTGCAGAAACCAAAGATACCAATTAATTTCAGAAATGTGGGTTAACCGCATGCCAAGCTGATCTCAGTCCGTTAGGGATGACGAAATCTGGACTAGAGCTTTGGTTTTTGTGCCTCCGGTTCGTCCGTTTTCCTAATGCAATTAAAACGAGCTTAGGCCCGCCTCTTCTGGATCAATTAAATGGAGGGGTAAGCTCGGCAGACGTGCCCGCCGACAGTTTATGCAAATTCTCAGGGCAGACGGAGCGAGCAATCATCATTTTTGGCGCCCCACTCAAGAGCTCAAGGCAGCCAAAGTATTTGCATATGGCCGAAAGGATATATCCCATTCGTGCCTCGAAGGAATCCGCTGGCATTCCCACATTCATTAAGTAATTTGTAGCCACAAAATTTAATATGTTTCTAAACTGATCCTTGCTATTTATTTAATGCTTGTCAACCAGCGACCGTTGTCCCTTGTCCTTTTTTTCGTATTAAAGCAACCCTTTTGACCTTTGATTGACTGACAAGTTGGCCTTAACGACCAACCACAAGGTCCTGGGGAGTGGCGAAGGGCGGGGACAATCAAATTGAGTCCGATTAGGATTTAAATTGCTCAAGTTTACCAGGGGTTCATTTTGGGATCTTACTTTTTCTGTATTTCAAGTATTTCCGTGATGTGCTTGCGTGGGTCTAGTTAAATATGTAATTGTGTACATGGTAGAACAGCACACGCAGAAAAGAATTAGGCAATTTATATATAATTTGTTTAGGTTGACATGAATTTTACAAAAAAAGAATTACTTTTTTTAAAAATAATTTTAGAACCTTGATTGCCATTTTAAGGTTTATTGCCAAAGAAATTATTAAAAGGAACGTCAAATTTCATGTCGTGTCACGTACGGAATTATTTTTTCTACCAGGAATAATAAAAATAATTCAAATAAAATAAGCTTGTTTGAAAATCCAACGAATATTCCTTAAGGTCATTTGCAAAGTTTTTTATTGTGTATACATATTGTTGAACATTTTTTGAAATCTATTCGCAGACATCTGGCCTGGAGCTGTCAGCTCTTGCTCTCACTTTCACCATTTGCATGTGTTGATTTTCGCTTTTGGGCTAAAACATGTTATGCTCAATCCATTTTCCCCCTTGTTATTTTCATTTTTCTGGGATTTTGTTCAAGATTTTCCGGTGTGTCAGGGGATTTTACGCTGGCTGACTGCTCTTTCCGCCGTGGTTCGCCTTTGTTGTCTTGGAGCGTTTCATTTCATTTGCGAGCGACAAATTGTGCGTGTTGACTGTAGGAAATGAATGTCATCTATGTGACATGTTGGCAAAATAATGAAATATGTGGGCGTGCAGCAGAAAACAAAGCCGGAACCTGGGCCCGTTTCGAACATATGTAGATGACATGTGCTTATCTAGTGCGCATATTTACTGCATGCCTTCTGGCGCAAAATCGCATTTGAAAATGCCTTGATTTCATATTCCCCTTTGAAGCGCCAATACGATAAGAATCATTCGCATTTGAATGAGATGAAATCAGTGGCCAAACGCAAATGCGTTTCACGTGTCTCTCGATTTGGCCTCTTTAAAATCCTGCCCGCCCATCGATTGATTTTAAATTCCATTCAAAGTTGCCTATCCATGGTCCAAAGCAATTTCATAAACTGCAGCACTTAACTTAAAAATGCCGGATATTTTGTAGCCACAGTTGCTTCACTGTAGGCGGTGGCCAAAATCGAGAAATGTTTAACAACCTGCTATAAAAAAAAACCCACACACGACTCCAGTGCCGAAGACCAAAAACGGAAACTGAAATCGAAACATTCCGCCCGTTCATCAAAGTGGCCAGCTCAAAATCAATACACACTGCACAGAGAAAATGCAAATAAAAAATTTGTGATAAGAGTTTGGAATATTGAAATAAGTTCTAAAAGCTTTAATAAAAACAAGAAAAAGGGGGAGGATTAATTGAAAACGACAATTTTACATTTAAATAATAATATTGATAATATTGGAACCCTTTAATATAATTAAGAATTCCAAAAACTTGTTGGATTTTATAGAAACACTTTTGTTTTACTACACTAGTTCATGAAAATAAACAATATTATTAAATATTGCCTAGTAAACTTGATCATATTTTCTCCAAGTGGTTTTCAGAAATGCCATAACTAGAAATTTTTACTGCAAATGAGCAAGAGCAACAAGCCCAAAACAGAGGCGAGGAAAAGTCCGAAATGAAATGGAAAGTTCGATAGTGTGAGGAACGAGGAGCAACAAGCGAAACTTATTAGATGAGATAAACGAGCGGCTCTTGTCAGTGCGAAATTCATAAATTTCGCAGCCGAAAAACCAAACCCATAAATACCAGTGAGGGCGGGGAAAAAAAAAACAAAAGCGAAAGCTTGACAATGAAATCAGACGGTGGAAAGTGGAGCCAAAATGGGAAATGGCAGGGGAAAAATAAAGAGGGAAAGGGTTCGGCCAATAAATCGACAGCTGCAAAGAGACGGCTAAACAAATTGTTTAGCTGAAAATAGTCCGCACAAATTGTGGCTTATAAATTGTGCTCGAAGTGAATGTTTGCATATACATATACATTTCTCTTTGCCCGCACCACTTGGCGTATGCGCAATTTGTTTTGGCGCCTTAAACAATTGTTGGAACGTGCCAAGAGCCGGCGAAAAGGGCAAGACAAATGTTCAACAGGGAGCAATAATATTGGAAATTTGATGCCTCACTGGAAAATGTAAAGGGAAATCTTCTACACCCCCACCCTTTCCCTTTATACACATTTGCCTTTGTGGTGAAGCGAAGATTTTATTCACTGCTTTGACTAGGGAAAGGAAATTGTATTCGAGGCCAAGAGCAAAGGCCAAATCCATTTTGAAACATCCTTAGTTTTTTCCTTGCACAATCGGTGAACGAATGTGTTTGTACATTCTTTTCTCGAGGCAAAAGCGTTTCTCTGTGTTGTGTGTTTTGTATGTTTATAGTAACTGCTGGTTATATTTGCTGATAGCGGTAGTGTGATAGCAGACAAAGGCCACACACCCGGCCAAATAAGGATATAATATGCTCCTGTCAGTGTCTGCCCGCGGCTTCGAGCAAGTCCAACTCAACATTGACATTGGCATAATATTGGCTTCATTTGTTACAATGCAATATGTAATATGCAAATACACAAGTATCTATGTGCTTGAGAACTACCTTGAAATGGAATGGCCATTGTAATGCTCAGATAACAAGGGATTACCGTCTGTGAGGTACAAATATTTACATTTGATTTATGGCTATTGAAGACTTTGTTCAGGAATTGTAAAACGCTTAAATAAGAAGTTCCAGGAAAATTGAATAGGTGATTGATTAGTTAGTTGTCCAAATAAATGCTATCGAAACTATTAAAGCAACACTGAACTATTATTTTCTTGAGTTCAATGTTAAAATGGTTGTGGCGATGAACATCTCACAATTAAAGATATTGAAGACTCAATTATCAAACATTTTACCACCTTGCAATAAAAATACATTTCTCCATTTTTGTTTTCCATATAACGTTACAGATTCTTTATTTATTTTTTTTATTCTTGTTTTTGTTTGCTTTCCACTTTTCTTTTTGTGTGTTTTCTTGCTTTTATAATAATTTCTCGTTTAATATAATTGCAGTTGTTGTTGTCTATGAGTGAATGTGTGTATATGTCAATGTGTTTTTTTGTGTGTATGTTCGTGTATAGGTTTCCTTAAATAAATATTTTCCCCATTTTCCTCAAGTGGCGCGTGATTAGCTTACAAGTTTTTCACGCCTTTTCTCTGTTGCTTACTTAATTAGCATTTTTATCATTTTTGATACTGACACAATTGATTTGTTAGTTTTTCTAGCAGTTTGCTGCACTTCTGTTTTATTATTATTACTCGTAATTTATTCATAATTTCATTTTTTAATACTAGTTTCCGTTTTCCTTTTCTGTTTACTGTATATTAAAGTGATTTTACATAATAATGTACTTATATGCAAATTTATCTAAAACTGCATTCAAATCGGTTTTTTGTTTTTTTTGGTTTCGCATTTCCTTTTGTGTTTGTGTGTGTATCTGTTTTCCATTTTATTAGACTTAATGGGATTTACGTTTTATAGAGGAGATTCGGTTTTTTTTTTGCCGCTTGTTTTTGGGTTGGTAAAAAATGCATACATTATAAATACACAGTTATCAAATAGTATGATTCTTGCATCGCATGTATTTGTCTGTCTATCTGTCAGTCTGTCGCTGTGTTTGGGTTCCTCTGGTGTAAATGTATTTCGCATTATATATGTATGTGTGTGTGCAGTATTCAATATATCGTATATGCTTCTAACTTACATTACAAAATATATAACAAATACGTGTAAATGAGTATATAATTCACTTGCCATTCTACTTATTTTGCTTTTATTCTGTGTGTCTTTTCTGCTGTTATAAATACAAAATATCGCGTCGGTTCTTTTGTTTGCTGTTTATCGAATGTCTTCAATTTAAAATGTTTGCATTGTGTGGTTTGTGGGTGTTTGAGATTTTTTTTTCGTTTCCGTTGGCTGTTCGACCTATACATATATAAATGCAAAATTTATTCATAGTCAGATGCGTCAGAAAGAAGGTCAAATGAAAAATTCTAAATGGGCGGTAGAAAAGCGAAAGCCAAAAATGAAAAGTTCGTTGAGTCTACGAGTCTTTGCGCAACTAAGCCATTGTTTTGGCAGTGTTCAGTGTATGTCTGTGTTTGCGGACTTGCTGTACCGTACCGCACTGTAGCTGCACAGGCAAATCATTCAAAATGGCTCCGGATATTCTTTAATGGCTACTTCGAGCTACGTTTCGATTTAACAATTAATGTGCTTTAAAATTTCTATGAATTTTCTCAAACAAGTACAGCAGAGAAGTTTATTATTATTTTATTTCGCTGTATGGTTTAACAATTACGTTAAAATCTTTGCACTTTTCAATAGTCAACTTTTGTTGCAGTTTTGTTAGATTTTCTCCACTTTCTTTTGTTATATGTATATGGTAAGTATTTCTTAAGTACTTTTCCTTAACGTTTCTCTTGTGGTAGTAGGAATAATTCGAATACCGAAAATTGTGTGTGGCTGTGTGGGTGATTTTTATCTGCCTAAAGGGGAAATTTGTCAAAATTAAGGAACTGAAACATAATTTTCAATAGGATCATGTTTTTGGCCATGCTGCCTGGAAAACTCTATGATTTAGATAGATTTCATATATTTATTTTTATATTATGTACTTACGGTTCTCTACAATCGGTAATCGGTATTCAATAAACTGTTTTTCTGATTTGTTTTATCTGGCTGACAGTTTGAAATAAAAACGTGAACTCAACTTACAAAATCAACTTTTATTATGTGTGTTTGTCTATGCAACAACAAATGAAAATAATAAAATTTTGCGACTATTATCTATCGATAAAAGTTTCAGCGAACAATTGGAAAAGTAGAACTAATCTGCAAACGTTTGCTTTGTCATGTGGAAAAAGTTTGTTTTTAAATGCAGTTGCTTTTAAGGTTTATGTATATGGAGGATTTTATTATTTTTAGTTGAATGCATTCTTCCATTCTAGTTGAAATGACTTAATAAGATTTAAGTTTTTGCTACCAACTTCATCTGGTTTAATATTGTTTTTGTGTCTGTGTTCTTTTGTATACGTGCTAAAACTAATAATATATACAATGTAAAATACTTTTTCATCATTAATATATATCTTTTTTTTCTTTTTAAGTATTCATTTTAATTATATCAATTGCGCTAAGTTCATCTAAAGGTAATTTTTCTTTTTCTTTACTTTACTTTACTTTGCCAGCATTTCTTCGGCTAGATTCGCTTTGTGTGGAGATTTTAGCATAGGTTTTCTGCATTTAGAATATCTTTTTAGGAGTATTTTCTTCTTGGCATTTGCCAAGGGTATGCCGATTGTGGTTTACTTTAAATTGAATGATACACATTGCGACAGCTTGCGAAATGCCATTCGATTTGCAGTTAAAAATTTCGTAATGTTTATATGTTAATATATATATGTTTCGTGTTTTTAATGTATGTATATACTTGTTATGATGGAACGAAAACAGTCTTTGGGTATTCCTTTATATAATTTTTAATTCTGTTTAATTGTAATCCTTAAAAAGTAATGCGAAATAAAAAATGATTAACTTAAATTGACGATAAATTAAAGGCGTTGAGAATATTTCTGGCTTAACCGCTAAATGACTCACACAAAACGTCACACACTTCTAAACAGAAAATGCTTAAAATAATAATTACAACTTAAAATAATATGCACAACAAATCTGTTCGAGAATTAAAGTTATAAATTCATAAGCGCTCCTAAACTAAACTTTGGTATGCTCTCTTCTACATCTTACAATTCTCAATTTCTCATTTTTCTTAATTCGTTCTTAGCTTGCCCCGCAAAAAATGCTGGAAAAAGTGCAACCGTAAGTTTCGGTTTGGGTTGCCCTAATAACTTAATCTCATTATCGTAAATATTTAAATTTAAATGCTGATGAAATATTTTTACAAATGTCATTTTACGTGTCATAATATGTGTTTGATTTATCCTTCATTTCCATATCCATTTTCCCTCCCCTTTTAGTTTTCTAGTTCTTAGTTTCCATTTACGTAGAGAGTTCTGCCAACTTCAGCATTAAGATGCCTCTTTGGTTGCGCTTTCTTTGTGTGTGAGTTTCCCTCGTGAGTGGGGTTTTCATTTCGATTTAAATGCAACTTTGTATCTACTAACAGTTTTAGTTTGTTCATCTAGGTATCCGCTTCGGATTTGGATTCGGTCGCTCCCTTCTCCCCACTCTATTCTTTGCCATTCCTCGGTCTCCCAGCTTACAATTCTAGTTCGGTATTGTGGGGATTGGGCGCCTCGGGTCCGTACATATTGGCCAGCTTGTCGAAGCGTGGCCCCCAGGCCCCGAGGTAGTCATACTCCTGCTGCTCGTCATCAGTTCCTGCAAAAAACAAATAAATACACGGACGAAAATCCATATTAAATATCCAATTCATAGCAAAGCATAAAAATGGAGAAAAATATCTATTTTTTGTAGTATTTAAAACTGCGAATTTAAAAGGACGCGTTAGTTAAAATTTGGTGACACATTATAGTAATATTTCTTCTCTGAGTAGTTAAAGGCAAAATAAAACATAAAAATACCATAAACGTTTTTATATTTTCTCCTAAAGTTACACCCAATATTCAGCTGTATCTGAGACACGTTGGCCTGGAAATGTCAGAAAAGATGATGAGTCAACAAAGAATCGAATGCTCTAGTTTTCAATTGCACGCTATGAGTGCTCTCTAGTTGATGGTAGCCTACTTTTTGGGGCTTCTCAGGCTTTGGTTCTAGGTTCGTGACTAAACGGCTGCATATTGGGTGCAAAAACTAGTCTTAAAATAATATTTTTGGGCCTACCTGAAGCCAACGAGCTAAGCGATCCGGCAGTGCTGCCGCCGCCTTCATACGCGTAATTCCTCAAGTCATCGAAGGGCGGCGCATTTGGATCTCCATCGGCACGCTTTTTATGCTCCTCAATGAACATGCCCACATTGGGTTCCTGACCTGGCATTAAGGTCATAACGGGATCTAAAAATTACAATAATAAAACATAAACATGTATTATATATAAGCACATATATTTTTGTATTCCTCCATTAAATTTATACTCAATATAAAAGTTATTGTTGGATATTTTGTAATTTAAGTTCATAAATTACTCTCTTAAGTACAATTATCTTGTAAACTGTACAATTATTGTGTAATCTTTTATATTTTGCATATGTATAAGGTAAATAGCAAACAACATTTGCCTGCAGTCACGCTGCCAACTCAAGTTTCTTAAATTTGGTTGTCTTTTATCTCTAACTCTCAAGCTCAAGTCAAGCATTCAAGAGGGAAAATTCATAGGAATACTTACACATAATTGGCATTTTCATGGGCGCCAGCTCAGGTGGCATTGGCCCACCAATTGGTATCTGCAGAGGCGTGATATCAAAGGCGGTCATATCGTCCTCGCCGCCTCCCTCATCGTCATAGTTGATTATATTCTCGCGCACATCATCATCGGGACCCGGATATTTGATATGCGCCTCACGCCGACGATTGTATACGACGAACACCAAGACGAGTACTGTGAATAGTTAAAATTCAACAATATTAAAATGCAATTTTCCCCTCAAATAGATACCTCCTTCCGTATGCAACAACAACTTCCACCAAGTGCATTATACTACGCTTAATTTAACATGCAGAACAATTTAAGTTATACTTGTCCTTTACGGCAGAAAAGCGAATCCGAAAATATCTCTACGCTATTTGCTTGTAAAAAATTCTTAATTAAATTGTGCAACCAAAACGGAACTCAGAATAAAAAAACAGGGGAAAAAGAAAATGCCGAAAATGAAAAGAAACCAAAGCAAATATTGCAAACATTGTCCCAGTTTTCTGGTCAACAGAAATAGCAAATCAAGCTGCAGACAACTTGAATCCGCTGTATCTCTGTAGCATTTCTAATTTTGCCAGCGCTCTTTTCACCATATTGCGAAACGCAGACAGCATCTGTTGCATGGGTAAACCCAGGGAAAATAAAAACTTTCCCGGCATTCGGAGTCGTGGAAATTGCCATCGCAACTTGATGTTGACGTTAAGTAATTTGCAGCGGCTTCTTCGTCTGCGAAAAGTTTTCTTTTCCAATTTCTTGTCTCACGCCAACTGGCTAGCGTATAATTGCAATTATTGTGTTAGTCAAATACGCATTCGCCATACCAAAATTCTTATTTACCCACAATGTTTAATTTGTGCTCAAGCGTTTGCGGCCTCGCCCTATTGATATGCAAAAAAATTTCGCTGACCATTCAATAAACATTAATTTATGGAAGCACTTTTGTTGTGTCCTGTAATTTGCGGAAATGACTTTTGACATGTTTGCTTGGTGGGATCCGTAGTTTCCGGTCATTGCAGCTGGCTGATTGTAAGACTTAATTAATTTTATGGCTTTCGCGAGATGCCATCAATATTTAAAGGACATGTACACTTTTGATTAAACTTTTAATTGGCATAAGAAAATCAGAGAGAAATTGAAGAATTTAAATGGAAAGCAAAGTATATGCAAAGTTCTTTCGAATATATAATACATAATCTACTTTTGACTCAGCTTAAAAATAATAATAAATTAATAGCTTATGTTTATAAAAATATAGTTTATATAAAAAAACAAGAGAGAACGCTATAGTCGGGTGCCCCGACTATCAGATACCCGTTACTCAAGTAAAGGGAGTGCGAGGGAGATGGAGATAGAAACTTTGATCACGCATAACTTTTTAACGAATGGTCCGATTTGAAAAATTTCTTCTACATTTCGATAGGTATTGATAAACACAATAAAACTGCATTTTTACTTTTCCGAAATATTTAAATTTTTAAAATCGTATATAAGCGATTGTGGGCGTTAAAGGGGGCGTGGCACCATTTTGAAACAAACTTGCGCTGCGTAGGAACTTCTAAAATCTACATGCAAAATGCCAATCTTCTAGCTTTTTTAGTTTCCGAGATCTCAGCGTTCATACGGACAGACAGACAGACAGACAGACGGACAGACAGACGGACAGACGGACAGACGGACAGACGGACATGGCTAGATCGACTCGGCTAGTGATCCTGATCAAGAATATATATACTTTATAGGGTCGGAAAAGCTTCCTTCTAGCTGTTACATACTTTTGCACGAATACAATATACCCTTTTACTCTACGAGTAACGGGTATAAAAACAAAAAATTAAAATAAATCTTGATTAACTATAAAAAATGCATGCATTCAAAGTAGTCTTAGTGAATTTCTATTAAATCCACATTACTTTTTCCATTGTCTTAAGCTAGTCAAACCTTAAGCGTAGGAGTTACATCAGCCACCCGTCGATTCCACACCTCTTGGGTGGATCTGCGGTATACTTACGTATCAGAGTGCCCAGGCAGAGAGCCAGGGCGACAATAAAATCACGGGACGGAGTCAATACGCCGGAGGCCAATAACTCCAGTTCGCAGTGCATGCCGGTGAAGCCCATGGGGCAGTGGCACTCGTACTTCTTGGGCGGATGATGATCGCGACAGCGACCCCCATTGCGGCACGGGAACAATAGGCACTCGTTGTCGTTTACACAGGTGCTGCCGGCGCTCTTGTACCCCGCCGGACAGCTGCAGGACGAACCCCGAAAAGTTACGTATACGAGTGGTTGGTTGGTCGGTTGTTCGAGTGGATGTGGGATGTAGTGGGAGGTGTGTGTCGTTGGTGGGATTGTTGAAAAAATAAAAGAAATTATTTTAAATTTGTTTCCATCATGCAGTGGAGTGGTGTTTGTGTCTTGCGTAAAGTTTCTGCAAATTATTGCACTGAGAAAATCACGTAACGGAATCAAGACTAAGTTTCCTTAAAAATTAATTTATTGATAACAATAATGATTTCTGGTAAAAGCTTACTAGTTATCATGGAATAGAAACATTTTGAGAGGAAATGACCAAATATTAGAATATAAATATTTAATGTTATATATAACATATATTTTAATATTATTTTTAATCTTAAAATGCTTTAATAAATTTTTCTGATTTATTTATTTAAATTAAGAAAAACTTGTATTTTCCCTCAGTGTTTGCTTGATTCCTTTTGTTTGTTTGAATAGTTATGAGAATGAAATATTTTCCTTTGCTCTCTTTCGTTCTCATCCTATTGGAGTGTAAAAAACTGTCAAAAAGTCTTTATAAACGTTCGTTGCAACTTTATTATTTTCTTCATATTTTTTCGTTGTAGTTATTATTTTACGCTTTTGTGAGTTTTTAGTTTCGTTTTCGTTCGTGTGTGAAACTTTTTGCATTTGCATTGTGCAAACAGTCCACTCGCCCTTCATCGACTTTCCCCTCCTAACACGCATCTTAAGTGCTGTTTTTACCATTTTTGTTCGCCTTTATGATTATTATGTAACAGTTTTTGTTTCCTCAGTTGGAATTGAATAAAGTTTTTTCTCTAGCTGCATTCTTGGCATAAGTTGAATTTCATTTTATTTTGTCTCACTTTCGCCTTAAGTTTGTTTTGATTAGTTTTGGCTAACGCACTCACACTAGTTCCTTAGAAGCAGAGGGATAAAAACTTTGCAAAGTCAGTTGACTTGGCGAATTGAGGTGTGAAATGGCCAAGGGAGAATTATTTTACTCAAGCTTTGAGTAATTGAGATGCATGGGATTTATTTATTTATTTTAAAAACCAACTGAGTGCCTTGCTAGATAAATTTCCCAAGATGCTGACAGATTTATCAATCAACTTTAAATAAATACAGATCACAGTTGAAACATAGTTAAGGTAAAATAAATTTATATGGATATAGACTTTGAAATACATTTCGTTTATCGACAAATGTAAAGTTAATTTTTTTTAAATCGCTAAATTGTAAAATTATAAAAGCAAACGATTGAAAGACGCTGCTCAAAAAAGCTTTTTTAAATGTTTGCACTTCAGCTGGTTTTTCTTTTTCTTATAGCCCTTAAAATATTCATGGCTTGCGAGTGACTTTTTTAGCAAATACAATTGAATACTTTTCAAATGCAGACTCGAGACACTTTTGATATATTGACGATTATTGGCAAATACCATGGCTTGACCATCGAAAACTGCACAGCGGGAAAGCAGAAAAAAAAATGGGCATACAACTTGAAAAGAGCGAGGATAAAGTAAATACCTCAAAAGCAGCAAGAAACTTTCACACTAAATCAGCGCCAGTTGAAAAGTTGAATGGGGGATAGTTTTATTTTCCGTTTTTGGCTGCTTTGCTTTGGCTTCGATTGCTCCCAAGTGCGTAGTTTAAGCCCATCAGAAGTGAGTGAGGTACTTGATAATTTCTACGAATTTTTCCGTCTATAAAGTTTGCCAAATTTTACGCCATTAAGTTAAAGTTCAAGTTGACTCGGGCAAGAAACAATTTCTGTACGCTTCACGAACCGTGTTTACTTTTGAACGCTAAGCAAAGGTGGCGTAAAAAAGGAGCTGAGTCTGAAACTGGCATTTTTCTGGATGTTTACACACATACCCGGCATTTAACTTAAGAAATTGAGAAAAAAAATAAATGCAAACGTAGTAAATCCTCGCGGGGCATTGCATGAAATGGAACTGGCAGCTTCTTAGTGCCACTTTTCCAACCGGCTCCTTTGAGCTGTCTGATCATCCTGTCCTCCCATGTCTATTTTTTTTCTTATAGTATAGTAGGTGGGCTGGATTGGGGCGGAGTTAGTGCATCGTGATTTCTCGAAATGCCAAAGCTAACAACTGCAATTGCTCTTCCTCGGTTTTGGGTGGCTTGCCCTTGTCTCTTCATGTGCAACTTGTATCTCTGACTGCACATTTGTTAACTTACCTGAAGGGCATTTCAGGTCTTGTTCTTTGTCTTGGCTGAGTGCATTTGGAAATGTGTGATGGGGGCGTAGAGTTGGTAAAAGTATAGCACAAAAAACTAAATGCACAGTGTGTATTGCGGAGTCGTAGTCCGAATTAAATACCCAGATAAAAGAAGTTAAGTCACAAGTTCATTAAATATTCGACTACATATCATTTTGTTATATAAAATATTTACACACACCAAAAGATTGAATAATACTACACATTGAGTGGAAGGCTAAACAGAAAATGTGCCAAAAACAAACATCAAATTGGTATGTAGATGAAATCATAGTTTGATGAATATGGAAATGGTTTTTTGAATGGGTTAAATGTCACCGGCATATTAAAAGCCATGTGCAAAATATATACATTTTCAATAAAGGTGAATTCGGTGAGCCGTGATTTTGATACCGAATGATTGGATTTATAAATGATAGAGAGAGATAGAGATGATAAAATAAAAGCAAAGTGCATAAGAGCCTTTGAAAATGTGGAATCGATGGGAAAATGAAACGAAATTTGCATGAAATTGATTGGATGATTGCGACCAGTTAATTAAGTTGGAATAACATAACAACATAGACATTAAAACGCTAAGCATTCGCTAAAGCACTAATTGCTTGTTTATAACTATTAGTTGTTGTTGCATATTTTTGGGTTTTATCGGGAAAGATCTGTTCGGTTCGATGCTCACTCAGTATGATTAAAAGGCAGACCAAAATCGCCGCCAGGGCGCCCATGCTGAGCTTTAAGGTCTGCCCCTCCTGCACCAGTTCGCAATTCTCGCCCCAGAAACCGTCGGGGCAAATGCATCGATACCGCAGACGGGGCTCGAGATTGATGCATGTGGCACCGTTCATGCAGGGCAGATCGAGACACTCGTTGCGATCCATACAGCCCTTGGAATCGGGCGACATTACGCGTCCTTCGCCGCAACTATTTCGTTTCGTATTTCAATTACCATTAGTTTGAGATTAATTAGTTGATTTGCTGGGATTAATGGCAACATAAACTGGGCAACCGAAAATGCAAATATCGAATGAAGGTTCCAATTGTGTGATTGATAAATATTTGAGAAAGGTCCAAGTTAAGTCAGAGATTTAATGAGCAAACAAGTATGCCTAATAATATCACCTTAATTTCGGTAGCTTTTATTCTCAGAAAGTTATTTAACCATCAATTGAATAATAATTATATTCATGGCGCTTATAAGCTTTTATTCGAACACTTTCTATTAGTGGAGGGAAAAGTGTTATTATCTTAAAAGTTATTTGAAGCCAATGATTTTTTCAAAATAAGTTAAAGTTCAAAACTTGTGTATGGCAAAAATGAAATGGAAGAAGTTCTGGGAATTTTCTACTTATCGGATTGATTTTCCACTGACCAATGGTCGATGGGAAAAGCCATAAGGCAGCAATGTGTAAAGTATGGTGTGTGTGTGTTAAGCAAAGAAAAGCGAGGTTGTAGTACCTGTGCTAAGCTTGTTTCTCTTGCTCTGCGTAATGAAAGAAAAGCGTGAATATGTACAAAGGCCATTACAAGCCGGACAAATGCTCTTTGCTCCCGAGTCGAATCTCGAATTGACTTTAACCCGAAGTCAAAGCGAAATCGGAAACGTAAGCCTAAGCCGATTGATTTGTCACGCAACGTTTAGTGCCAGTCACTAACTGACTTTTGTGCCGTGTGAGGACGAGTGTGGGTATGGTGGTGTTGAGCTGAATCTCCGGCACGAGGTCCTTTGACGGACAGGTCCAATAAGCTCTTCGCCGGACTCGGCTCCTCCTACTCTGTATTCTGTTCTTCTTTTTTTTCTGTGCCTGCCTCTAATTGATTAAGCCTATCAAATGTTAGCTTTGCTTTTGCTTGCTTATCAAAAGCCAGCGATTTGTTTTCCTTTTGTTTCCTTTTATGTGGCATTGGGATAAGGGATTTTCTATGGTGTTTCTTATCGCCACTCTTGGCTTATGGGTAGTTTGTGGTTTAACACTCTTTGCTTGTGCAGTACAGTCCGAGCAGTCAATTTATTTAAATGGTTTTAAATTTTCTTTTTGATTGATGAGAAACGAAAAGCAATGGGTGATTTCCTTAAGATGTATAAAATGACTTTGAAAATGATGAAAAAAGAAACTTACGTGCACTCGTAGACATTCCACAGGTCCACGCACTCGAAAGGATCGGGGCAGATTACATTCGAGCAGGGTTTATTTGAAGGACAACCCTTCTCCAGATTCCTGGCCATTGTGGCCTGTCCCCATTGGGTGCCATTCATCGCCGGTGGCAATGGAAGGTGTTTGCCTTCAAGACTGTATTAGAGAAAAAAAAATTAAATTAGAAATTATTTAGGAGTAGCCATACAAAACTAAAAAACTAATAAACAATAGTTAAGCGCCAGTAAATGTAAGTATTTAATTAGAAAACCTACCGTATATCATCGAGACAGCTCTTCTGGTAATCGGCATATACCTCAAAGGTTCTGACGCCAGTGTATTCGGCCTTTCCGCCTGCATAGACACCCTCCTGTTTGTCCACCAACAACCACTGATGTCCCACGAACTCAAAGGTCTCGTTGTAGCGACGACCCTCGCCTCCATCCAATTCCAGGGTAGCAGCAGAGCCATAACGATTCACCTTCACCACATGCCACTGGCCATCGTTAACCACAATGGCATTTAGCCAGAGATCCTTTTCTTCGGTGCGGAGGGAATTCAGATTGTATCGGAAGTGCAGGTGGCCATCCTTGATCTCCAGAATTCCGTATTCCCGATTGTGCTGATCGCTTACACGGAAAAGTTCTCCGTACTCCTCTCTGGTACGGAATCTCAGCTGGACTTGAGTGCTGAATCGATCTGGTTCGAAGCTCAGGGCATACTTCACATAGCTCTGCGCCTTGAAAGTGGTGGGTATTGTGGGAATATTACAGGCAGGACCCGTCCACCCTGGTCGACAATGGCATCGGGCTTCGGACAGGGATCCCACACAATTTCCATGTTCCCAGCAACGAGCTGTGGTCTCCGTTTGGGCGCAAACTTCCTCGGTTTGTGGACAACCTGCCATACTGTTCCTCGAAAGTCCCGGATGTGCCAGATCGTAGAGCTTGGAGTTGTGAACCAAATTCCTGATGCAACCATCGAAACCCTTGGCCGTGGGCATATAGTGCCAGAAGTACAGACTTTGATCGAACTGCTCGCGGTATAAGCCACCCACTTGCAGAGGAGCATTTACATTCAGGTACTCATCAAATGGCGGAATTTGTCCTCTCGCCTGGCAGGACATATCATCGAATTCGGGCGGAGTTCCATCCTCCATTTCGGCTATCTCCGCTGATTTGCAGAAGTCCACAACCATGCGAATGCTTTCGGTATTCCAAAACAGATCGATTCTGTGCCACTCACCGTCGTCCAATGTCTTCTTGGTCTTCACTCTTAGTTCCAAGGTTCCCGAACCGAAGTCGATGAGGAGCCTGGGATAACCACGCTCCAATTCCAGGGCAATAAAGTCGGATATAAGCTTCTCATCCCGTTCGGGTGGAACAATGGGTCCGTTGTAGATGATGAGACCATCGGGTTTTCGGGTGATAAACTCCAGACTCAAATGCGACTCGTCGCACATTTCAAGAGGTGGATACCAGGCCCAGCCGTTTCCACGGAAACTGCGAGTGGTTTGCTGACATCTGGGACCGGCATAGCCCACTGGACAAGAGCAGTGGGGTCCAAATCTGGTGTCCACACAACGTCCACCGTTGTGACAAGGCGTGGTTCGACAGGATTCGGGCTTGGAGAAGTTGCGAGCACCACAGGTACAGTCGGCAATCGTGTCCACTCGAACTCCGACCAAGGCAGTTTTGTTGGCATTTACCATATATGGCAACGGACTTATTTCCAGGGCATTTGTGCAGCTACCCTCGCACATTTGATTCTCATACAGACATTCATCGATGCCCACCATGGTGATATTGATGCCCACATCCTTTTCGATCTCCTCGCGGTGCATCAAAACAATGCCATTTAGCCTGACGGGTTTGTAATACGGAGATCCATGGGCCGAGAACCTTATATCAGTTAGAGGCGGATTTTTCCTCTTCAATTGCACACTGAATATGTCCACGTTCTCTCTTTCGGTATTCAGCAAGTCGGCGAGTTTATCCCTAAAACGATCCATTTTCGAGCGACTCATGCTCTGGGTTCTGTAATTCCACACGCGAATGAAGTCTTCGTCTGAAATGCCAGACAGGCGTACGGATCCCGAATTTATGACAGCTTCATGGGGGATTTCCCTCACGGTAACCGTGACATTGGCTGGAATGTCGGTTTGGGTGTGTTTGCGATCGTAGACTTTGAACCTGAGATGATAACGTCCCTCGCGAGTGCCTGCCCGCATGGTGACCATGCCGGAATCCTCATCCAACTTGAATCGCGGATGCTCCATGGCCTCCCAGTAGAACTTCTTGTCGGGCAGATCCCAATCATCCAAATCGTAGACATAAACTCGACCAATTGGCGTGTCCGGTGATTGTCCTTGGTAGTTGTAAACAAATATGTCTTTGGAGCCAGGCTGCATTTTGTTGTCATTCACATCACCGATTATGACGGTCAATGTACTGGTTCCCGTCATCGCTGGCGAACCGTGATCCTTGATCACAATCGGGATCATATACTCCTTTTGCTGCTCGCGATCGAAGGATCGCAGGGAGGAAATCACAGCCATGCCATCACCATTGGCACCCTCTGTAAATTGGAAACAAATTAAATTAAAGACAATTAAATGGTTTTAAATGAATTGGGGCAAGGAAACTAAGGCTATCACCTCCCCCAAACCAGCATTTATTTTAATTCGGAAGAGCTCTATAATCCTTAAATCTCTTAGTCTCCATTGAAGAGCACCCTATGGCCATTAAAAAACCAGACATCTGGCTTCAAGCGAATAAACTACGAGTTCTGGGGCATGTTACTGCCAAAAGACCTGCCCAAATCCAGTTGCTGTTCAGGACTTCAAAGGCATTTGCCAGTTAGCCGTAAGCTCTGACAACTAACCAACCCAAAAACTAAGCTCTTTTATTAGCCAGCACGTTTTCCACCTGATTGCAGATGCAACTTGTGCAATAGCCCATTTGTTGTAATTACGCCTTTGAGCCAACAAGTGTTAAGTCTGGACGGGAGGTATGGAAACTATTGCCCCCGGAGGAGAAAAACCCCAGGAGCCGGCGAGAACGCACATTTGAAATGTATTTTTAAAGACACTCCATGGTGTGTTTTTAGGCAAATTGTATGCAAATAGGAGTCTGGAAAAGCCTGTGCCGCCCCCCAAACGTTTGCATAAAGTCACAGAATCGTACTTGTGCGGACTCCGAAATGCCCCCAACTTGCAGCTTTTCCCATTTCCCAGCTGGGGCATCAAAATTGGATTGCCACCCACACAAATTGTGACTGCCTGGGCACTTTTTCCCCTTATTCTTTCCTTGGCCTGGCGAAGGGAGCTGCGATGCATACATATGGAGTTTGGATTTTGCGGCAGACTCCCCATTGGTCGGGGGTAATTTAATTGAAAACTTGTGCATTTGCCATTTTATTTCTCGCCCAGGTGGGTGGGTCCATGCTACCTTGCTTATATTATTTAAATTTTCATGTGCGATGCGGTTTACGGTTTCCGTTCCATGGCCAAAGATTCCTGGCTATTCATTTCGGGCATCCTCTGCGAGGTAATTGCATTTTTATGCTATTGTTAGCGTTCTGTGACACTAGCCTCAACCCTTTTTCCGGTTCCCTCAATACTTCGCAAGAAATTCTCAATGCAAGCACAACACTCACATAAAAAAAAGCTGAAAATGTTACGCTGGTGCATTGTTTAAGCTTTGACCCAAATATTTGGATAACTTTTTCATTGCAGCCGGCAAAGTTTTTGGTCAGCTCGCAACTATTTTTAGATCCCTGTAACCTTTTCATGTTGAGTTTTCATGTGCAGCAATTTACAAGTAATTGGCTGGTGTTTGGCAACCAGATTGCCAAATCAAAGGGTAGAAGGTCAGAAAATACTTTGGCCAGGAGTTGCGTTGCACATGTATTTATAAATACAAATACTTTCAGTAAGTAAATATATATAGCCGCTTTGGTAGTTAAAAATTTCATTGAAAAATTCGAGAGACAATACATAAAACATTTGCGAAGTTCTAAGCTGTTCTAGAATCGGTGATATTTTAAAAATATTTATAGAATAAACTTACAGTATATAATAAAAAATTGTACTTACTCTGATCCTGTTCCACCTTGAAGGAGGCACGGATGATATCATCGGCACTGGGGTCCAAGCGGAACTGGAATGGTGGACCATTGCTCTTGGAGCGATCGTCATCGTCGGTGGCCAGGATCTCGACCACCTTACGTGGAGGCACATGCTCCGGCAGAACGGGTCGGTAGTCCTTCAGGAACTTGGGAGCATTATCGTTGATGTCCTGAACGATAACTGTGAGCGTGGCAGTGGCGGTTTTCGGTGGAGAGCCGTCGTCAATGGCCAGGATCTTGACCTGATGACGGGGCACAACTTCGCGGTCCAAGGAGCGTTGAATGGTAACCGATCCATTCTGGTTGATGGCAAACTGGCGCTGGCGATCCGAGGAACGATCGATGGAATAGGAGACCTTGCTCTTGCCACCCTGATCCGGATCGGTGGCCTTGAACTTCTCTAGTTCGGTGCCCACTTTGGTGTCCTCGAAAACGGAGACCTCCACATTGGCCCGCTCGAAATGCGGCTTATTGTCGTTGATGTCCCTCAGTTTGACCACAACCCACGAGTAGGCCACGTGGTATTTATCATTGTCGTTGTCCTCGCCCTTGTCGTTCACTTGGATGCGGAAACGGAAGCCATTGCTTTGCAGTTGATCCTCGTAGTCCAGGGGCTGGACGATTTTCAGGGAGCCAGTGCCATCGTTATTCCGCACCATGGTGAATTTATCGGCTCCGTAGCCGCTGTTATCGATCACTTTGTACTGGAACTTATTCGTTTCGTCTTCATCGTGCACGGTCACGGTTAAAATGGGCATTTCTGGCAGGGCCGTGCCATCCGTTTCGTCCACTTCCGTAAACCATTCGTCCTTCGTGAACTGCGGCGGCATATCGTTGATATCCTTAACCCGTATGGAGGCCGTCCCCGTCCCCTTCAACCCCCCGCCGTCCATTGCAACGACCTGTATCGAATAGTCCGGGGTTCTCTCGCGATCCAGACAACACACTGCGGTCTTAATCACACCCGTGTCGGGTTCGATTTCGAAAATGGGCGACCCGGTCTCCTCCTCAATCACGTTCTTCTCGATGGAGTAGACCAGTCGGGCGTTGGAGCCCTCGTTGGGGTCGTCGTAATCCACGGCCGTCATGGTCATCACCACCATGCCGGCGGTGCCGTTCTCCGTGACATTGCCAAAGTACACGCCCTGCGGGAAAATGGGGGCATTATCGTTGATGTCCTTCAGATTGACCTGGACATCCGCATAGCCCACGAGCCCCTCGCCGCCCTCGTCCTGGGCGAATACAGTGAAGCGCCACTGGGGTCGTCCGTTCGGTTGATCGCGATCCAGGGGCTATAAAGGCGTAAAAATAAAAGTGTGAGCTTGAGTGTAAAACGCTGTTGTGGGTTAATATGCACGGGGGTATTGTGTAATTTTAGCTGTCATAAACGCAAAACCGATTAACATCGGGGTGGAGGGAAGCTAACAATGTTGTGCACGTCTTTAACCCATGAAATTATCCCTTCCTACAATAAAGCTGGGTAAGCCACAACAACAAAAAAAAGTGAAGCCTGTCCCTGATGTTGATTGTGACTTTGATATGCATTCACAGCAGCCTGAGTGATGTGCTGCTCCCACCTGGGCACCCTTAACCCCACCTGTTCGTTAACCCTGGGCACACGTATGCAAATAATAAAAAAAACGAATTTAATCAGTACTTTGTATCTGTTGGCTGCTGGCAACCCTTGGATAATGCCCCAAACCCTTGTTAGCAAATCGCAACCCCCGACCCCTTAACCCCCGGCTATCCTTAACCCATGCCGACATGTGACAGGCACAGCAGACCGACAACAAGAGCAGCTTTTCATGGCGCTGACATTGGATTTGTCGTAAAAAAATGTGTACGAGGCGACAACAACAAAGGAAGTGTGTATATAAATACTTTTGGTGATGGATTGCACTCTAGGATACTCTGGGAAAATATGGCTCAGCTTATAAAGAAAGAATTTTGGGGTGATAATCCATTTCCTGTCAAGGTGCCCACTTGCCTACGTCAATATTAATTACTTTTTTTGTCAATATATATGGGTAAATTTAAGGAAAGGTCACAAAATTATATTTATAAAAAACCATTAAATAAAAGACTTCTCTTGCAATATTTATGAATTTAATTACAATTCTGCTTTAATAAATTGGTTTCCTAAATGATATACCAATTAGTTTAATAGATTTGGATTTTGTCAAAATCCACAGCCAATTAAAATTCCTCAAAAATACCCTATAAATAAGGAATAAAAGAAAAATATGTACACATAACCCCTGCGTAGTCATCGCTTTAATTTGCATGACAAATTTGCCAACATTGTTATGACATATTCAATTTAAGGGATTAGTTGTGAGTGGGTCACGGTCTGTGAGTGGTACATCCCCCTAAAAAAATGCGGTACAGCTGTTTGTTATCCCTTATCAAGTCCCCCTCCCGCTACTTTTCAAAAATTATATTCACGTAGAGAGATAGTCTGTGGACTAAAATGGCTGAATTGTGCGGCACGAATGTTATTCGTTTTATTTTTATTTTAGCTGGACGCATGGGAATTTCATTTAATTTGGCTTTGGCGTTTTTCGGACTACATAAGAGTTAAGTGAAATTTTTGCAACTCGCATGTGGCGAGGGATTTTCAATTGTGATTTTGTAATTAGTTTTAATTTACTTTTAAATTGATGCTGTTCTAGGGCTTTTAAGTGGAAAATTTAAAGAGGAACTAATTAAATTCTGTTTAATTTAAGTTTTCACTTGTCTTAAATCTTCTGCGCCCTTTCGTATAAAATATTTCCATTTGAAGTCAGAGAGACCTTGAGGGTCCATCATTCACTTTCGCTACATCACCGAAATCCATTTAAGCCATTTATTTAATAGCTGAAATGAGATCCCCTCCTTTTGTCCATCAATTGAAACTTAAATGATAAATAATGAGCACGTAGACGGATTCGCACGTTTGCATTTTGTGGGGATTGCGATTGATTCGAAGCGGGTTTAAGTGCACATTGATGGGGCTTAATCAACGAGAGCATATTTCGAAAATTCGCCATTATTTTCATTTTCTGACCAGCTGCGGCCTTGGTCGGCATGGATTTTTAAATACCGCATTTTATTTTATTTATTTTTATTTATGTATGCGAACATTTTTGCACACAGGCCATTGGCAATTTGTTAATGCTTAAATTGCGAGCCAAGCATTGAGGTATGGTGTTCGCTGATGACTTACCTTTAAAACGAATATTTCGCCAGTGGTGCGGTTAATGTCGAATTTGCTATTGGCTGGATTATCCGGATCAATGCCTTGCCCCGTGAGGAAGTACACGATGTTCTGGGGACGATCCTTGTCGCCATCTGTGGCCGTAACCTGTTTATCCAGTGCGGCAAGTAAATACAGATATTTATTATTTATGGTCGGGAAATTCGGAAAAAATCGATCAAATAAAATAAACGAATAAAAATGCAGCATAAATACAGAAATAATACAAACATGCCATGCAAAAACTACTTAAATAACAAAACTTTTTATGCTTCGATTATTTTAAATGAGAGTACATTTTTTTGGAGTTTTGCAATAATACTAGTTAATGGTTTTTATTACTCTGTTTACAAATTTGACTTTTTTAGTCATTTTTCTATGGATTATGATTTATTTTCCAAATGCTGTGAGGTATTAAGCTTGGTCAGTGAAAAAATATGTTTGTTAGAAGTGAGTGAACACAAAATCAATGGTAAATAAAATATTATTTGCTTTTGGTTAGTAAAATGTAAATATAAACAAGGTTTAAGTGCTGACTGATTGATTTTAATTCCCTTTGTTGGCCTTAAGCGCCAACTAGTTCCATTTTAATTAAATTAGTTGGACGGCAGTTAGCCACAAGTAAAACATAGTTAAACCACAACAGGAAATCTAAACGAGTCAAGCTTAATCGTGCAAATGTTTGGCATTAATACTTAAAGAGCGTATTGAATTAAATTAGCAGCTTTTGGGAGCAAACAGAAAATGGCTAATGGAAAATATGTACGATAAAAAAATATAAAAATTTTGCACAATATTTACGCAGGCAATTAAAGACCCCGGGGATTTTTTCAGCACCAAAATCGATTATTCGTTAAAGTCGCCCAACTAATTGTTCTGCTCGTAAACCGTAATGCCCAGTGGAATTTTCTTTTCAATTTACGCAATTACCGCTGAATGGTTTAAAAATATTTCGAACATTACACCTTGCACACGCCGATTATTCATTATGTTTACGTATTGTTATGGCTGGTTTACACAAAGTTAACATGAGAAATGAGACTGAATGAGATTTTGTGTGGCTCGGTTGTTGGGTTAAATTAATTGTTATATGAAACTGCTTTGTTTGTTTGCCTTATGCTATATTTCGTATTCGGTATGATTTTATGTACAGGACTCTGATATGGTAAATAATATAGCGACCTGCATGATGGTAAAGGGCGTGTCGTTCATTCCCTCGTCGAGAGTTCGCTCATAGGATGTCTGCGGGAATCGCGGTGGCAGATCGTTGACGTCGCGCACATTTATGACGATTGTTGTTTGATTTTCATTCAAACTGTCCGACGCAACCAATTTCAGTTCGTACTTTATGCAAACATTAAATAAAATATATGGCCAACGGAAAATTGGTGGGGGAGAGAACAAAAAAGTAAAATAAACAACGAAATTAAACAATAAATTTTAAATGCACATAAATTACGAAAAGAACATAAAACTATTGATTAAAATTAAATGAAAGTTCGCTTTATACATGTTGAAGATGGACCGAATATCTTGTATATCTTTTTCCACTCTTGACTTGACAGCTTATTTGCATTTTTCATATTCAAATACACGCATGTTTACTCATTAAAATGCAATAATTTAATCGACTTATTCAATTATGCATTACAAACTGCATGGTAAATTGAAAGTATGTACGATAATCGACATATTTTCAAGTCATCTTCATAATTTATTAATTTTTTATCGTTGCTTAATGATAAATCAATAGAATTACCATATATTTTTTCTGTGACCGCATTTTAAATGCTTTATGTGTGTACTCTGTAAATAAATTTTATACTTTTTTTCGTACCCACATTTTATACATTTGTCCACTCTGGAATGGACAACATTTTTTTAATTGTTCAATTACTTTTCTTCATTTTTTTCACTAGCCTTAAATCAAACGAAAAAGCGGGGAATGGAACAACATGCAAATGGCTTCAAAAACATTTATATTGCATTCTCTATACTTTAAAAAATTGCATTGGTTTTGTTTTTTCGAAACAAATCAATAAAAAATGGTTATTGTAAAGACCATTGATATTACAGGCAGTAAAATACCTTAAATATGTCAACTATTTATTAACTGACTGAAAAGGGGAATAAAAATGGCAATGAAAAATAAATTCAACTAATAAATTTTAAAATCATTAAAATCAACCTAAAAAACCTAAAAAGCTGTAAAAAACATGTCACTTTAAAAAAACATTCTCTCGTTCTAAGTGTGGGAATGCTTTTGTGCAATTGTGATTCAGGCAGATTTTGGGGCGGGGAAAAACCTTAAAGCAAAAACTCAACACATGCAATAAAATCTAGCGCAATGAAAACACTACCGAAAAAACAAAACAAAAGTTGTGAGCTAAGTTTTCGATTGATTTTGTATCATTCATTGACCTGCAAGACGCGTTTGGGCAAATTACGATCATCCTCTTCGGTAATCTGGGTACGATAAGTGGGTCGCTCAAAAACGGGGGGATTATCGTTTACATCCTTGACATGGATAATCACGGTGGTGTAGTTCTCCTTCAAATTATCTGAGGCCGCCAAACGAAGCTCGTACTGAACGCGCAGAGGGAAAAATGTATCTTAAAATGTCATCTATGGGTTCTTAATTACTTAAATAATTTAATTGTATTGGTACTCTATTGAATGACCCATTAATGTATATTCTTTTGTCAAGGGACCTATCGTTTTTATCTATGTTAATATATACTTATATATTTTTTCAATTAAATGTTATAAATTCCCTCTTGTGTATATTTAAACATTTAAGATATTACACACTTGCACATTTATTAGAAAATTCATGACTGCGATATTAATTGTGTAACATAATAATTGGAAACATTTGCATATTTCTTGGGAAAAGTTTCCCTAGCCGCATTTTAAAGTCTCGAAGATTGAATGACTGACTGACTCTGCACTTTTGCCAATTGTTCGAATTGCAATTCAATTAATGGTTGGCCATTCCTTTTCTTGCCTTCGGTATTTGACTTTTTGACCGCAGCTCGTGCAACAAAACTTGTTTGAACTTTTAAATATTTAAGCAGCCTCGCGGTGTGCGAAGTGTGTAAATTGAAATTCAAAGGGAGAGCGAGTTTCTTAATGAATTTTATAGTTGGCCAAGAAGAAGAAGGACTTAATGCCTGGTTGGGCAATGAATTTAATTTTGCTGCAGCTTTTTTCTGTGAATTTTGTAAGGCTAACTATAGCTTTGGAATCCGTTCCACTTTTAAATTCCCTCTATACAATAAAAAAAGTAAATTCCTGCTAGCTTTAAAAAATGTGTAAATATTTTTGGGAATGTAATATTGTAATCCCTGTTGTCCCTTATGTATTCTCAGCTTTCCAACGACATAAACAAATCTCACAGTTGACTAAGCTCGCAACGCTTATGTCATAAATATATCTGTGCTGGAAAAGAACGTTTGTCGATTACAGAGGACTCCTCTACGGGCTTCCACTTTGCATTTTTCATTTTTTTGTGTACGCGGTTTTCGTTATTTCCTTCTTTTTTTTGGGTTTTGGTTTTTTACTTACCCGGCGTCGAGTTTCGTAATCTAAAGCGCCAGCTACATAAATGGCACCCGTCATATTTTTAACCGCAAAAGCGCCGCCGATGTTGCCGCTTGTAATTTCATAGCGGATACGTGAGGCTGTGAAGGAAAGCGACAGAGAAAAATCAGGAAAAAGATGGAAAAAGGAGAAAAAGAAAATTGTGTGTGTAAGATAATAATTGCGGAATTTTTGGTCATATTTTTTGGGCGGGGAGCGGGACCCTCTACTTACACTCGTCGTGATCCTTGGCCGTTACAGTGAGCACTGTGTGCTGAATGTCCTCGTTCTCATCCACTTCGGCCTCGTACAGCGATTTGTCGAAATAGGGCGGATTATCGTTTTTATCGGCGATGCCAATGCGTATGAATTTGGTGACTGTCGATGGGAAAAAAGGCAGAAAAAAGGCACCATTTCGCTCTGTTAAATTTCTCGTTTTCAATTTGACACTCAAAAGACTGTTGGTACTTCGCAATTATCACGTACTAGACACAATGAGGAAAACTTTTTCCCCAGACAGAGCAACAATTTGACGCCTCTTATTGAGGCGACAAACATTTTGTTTGCCTTTTATTTAAGATCTTCGCCCCCATTTTCTTTATTTCTTTATTTTTTTATGCGTGGGAGTTGCAAACGCGTTTCGCATATTAAACAGCCTGGGATATTTTGGTTTTCCATTTGATTTTTATTTGCATGTGCGATGATGTAATTTATTTGATATTCATGGATTTTCTATTTGATCACAGACTTGAGTAAGCGGTAATGCGATTGCAAATGAATTCGAGCGAAATTTTATTTTCAGCCCATTTAAGCCTCTTGTCTCTTGTCTCAAGACCTCAGTCGCATAATTAACTATTATTACCGCTGGTAATGTCAAACAACACCTATTGTGGCTGTCGAAATTGCTTCGAACTCACTGAAATTAATTTCAAATTGCCCCACAAAGGCCACTCATTCTGCCCGAGTTGAGTCAAAATACACAGATGATTTAATATGCCAGGACGAGCAAATAGAACAAGGAAAACTCGGAGTGAAGTACAATAGTTGAGGCGAAGGACAAGACGAACAAAGCCACTGACAATGAGACATATCAGTGAGCAGAAATGTCAGGCAGACAGTAAATTACATATATCATTTATAATTGCACCAATAACAACGGACGACAAAGCCAGTGCGTTTTAATTAAATAAATGCAAAGACCATCGGACCAAACGAAAACCTGATTACTAAACACAAATCTAAGGGAACAGATGCGCCATGGATGCGACAAAAGTTTTGCCTCTTAACAGCCCATTTAGAACTTCGGAACTACACAAAGGAAAAATGTGTTACAAAATATACATTTTACTATTTAATTATAATTAATAATTTTTTGTGATCTTAGTTTTTGACACTCAGACTTTACATGGCACTTTAATGCTCATTTATTTTATTGCAAATATTTAGATTACTAAAAATATTATTAAGAACCCCAAAAGATATAAAAAAAAAATATAGAATGTCAACTATCAAGTCATACAATCAAACAAAATCAAAATACATTTTTCCACCTCAGGTAACATAACCATTACAGTTCACAATATAAGTAGCAACATTTTGTGAGATTTTCTCGCAGTATTTTAGTTAGGATCTCGACTCAAATGTTTCTGTTTATCAATTTACTTAGCAATGCTGAGAAGGACAACACAGGCCAACTTTCTCTTGTGCCTGTGTTGTTTGTGTTTCGGTTTATAATTTTGCTGCCTTGACTGGGCATTATCTGTGTGCAAGAATTATGCACATATGCTTCTGCAGGTTGACAACTCACATTGCAACTGGGCGCACATGGCGTATGTGTGATAAGTTCCAAGCCCTTTACATGCACCCTCCACATTGCGCTTAAATTAGCAAATGTTTGGGTCCAATTTTGAAATAAATTTATTGCAAAACATTGCTAATTACCAACTCGACTGTAGTTAGATTTCCTTGTGACGACATATTAATTAAAACTCGGCAAAATCCTACTGCCGGCATTAAATGCAAAACATTTCTAGCACACTTATTATTAAAATGTATGCCTTAGTCAAAGGCCTTGCATTTTCCAAATAAACATTTTTGTATTTCCATTTTTTATGAGTTCTGGCAATTCAAATGGAACTTTTTCATCCTGCCTTGCTAATTACCCATAACATCTCATTAAAAATAATAACATCTTCTTGCAATGGGATTGAAATTAAGTAATTGCAATATGATTACTTAAGTCTTTAATTGGTGGACTTCTTTATAATTAATAAGTGTCAGTTTAATCGCAGGACAACTGTTATCCTTCACCTCGCATAAATATACAGTTTTTCGCTTAAATGCGTTTTTTATCTGGCGTCCTTCAATGTATTTATACAACGCAGAGTTTTTCATTAAATTCCCACGGCATTTTCTTCCTTGACTTTATTACGTCAAAATTCAATTTACCTATATGCAGATAAGGTTGACTGTACGCGGTGTATGCAATATATATTGAATGCTGATGTTTAAGTTATAAAAATTTCATGCTGCCTCCTCATATATATTTTGGACGCAGATTTTTTCCGCATGCCAGGCACTTCTTTGAGTTCTTTTGGCTTGGATAAATGAAATTTTATGAGTTTTTATTAAGCACATTGCCGGGATGTGTGGAATTTAAAACGGGATATAAGCGAAAATATAATTTATAGGGTGAAATATTTTACAATAAAGAATACGCCCAGAGCCAAGTCAAAAGTTAACCCAATTTGTAAAGCTTTTATCCCATGGCCTTTATCGGCTTACGCTGCGAAGCCCGACCCTTGAAATACTGAAATACTTTATCTATTTATCTAACACCAATTTTATTGCATTCTTCAACCCGACCGCACTCCCATCAACTAACCCGAAATCAAATGGAAGTGGAAAATATATCCCATTGAGCTTTTGAGCTTTCTGCCACACACTCGCCCACTGACATTTAACGAATTTGATGGTGAATTGTGTGTGCAATGTTTGGACAGCTGCTGGGGAATCCCTTTGGAGGGGGATTCCCAAGGATCTTGAGCCCTTTGTGCGGCCATAAAAGCCGACATTGAAGCAATTCGGGGTAACTGCAGTCGAGTGGCGAAATCAAAGTCAACTTTATCACATATTTAGATCATGGAAAATGTGTCACATTCGCTTTCTCTTCAGCCAAATAAATAGTGTTCGATATGAATGGTTTTTTTTTGTTTTCTTTTTTTTTTTTGGTTTTTGCCCCGGAAAAGCTGCCACGCTTAGCTGCACAAATGCCACATGCCACGCCCCCCTCCAATTCGAGTGTCATAAATTTATGCGCTATTTTCGCTTGTTCAGGCGTTCCGCCATCCAAACATATTTATATATGTATATGCACTACGTGATGTGGCACAATGTCAAAATCAAAGACGCCATATTTTTAGCCAGCTTTCCTTAACAGTTTTCCCCAGCCCATTCCATTTTATTTTTCCGTTTTCGCTCTTCCTTGGTGCGGCAAAGTTTATCGACAAGTTTCGCACTTGAATGATTCTTAACGATATTAAATAGCACGGCGAAAATAAACAATAACACGAGCCTGGAGAAATGTTTTTATAATGTAACTTTTACCATCGAGGCTTTAAGATTTTTTGCAGGAGAACATAATAATATAATTTTGCATAATTTTTTTTATTATTTTAGTTTAAAATTGAGATATATTATATCATGTTACTATGAAAAGGTGTACATCACCTAGTCGTATTTTAAGTAGTCTATATGTATATCTCAGATATATAAGAATGAGAAAAGCCTTTTCAATCACTTAATTTTTAAGGGCAGCACTTCCTTCGCTTTCTTGAGGTAAAAACTAATTGGCCAAGATGCAGTTTTCCTTTGGCCATTTTATTTTACGACCGCCGCTTTTGCAATGGCAACACACAATGTACGATGTAAAAGGAAATCACTGACCATCCGCTTGTGGGTCTGGGCCATTAATGGCGCTTAATGTGGCCTGGCTATAAAGACAAGCTAACTGCATGTCCGAAGCTAATGCCACCGAAGGGGAAACTGTGGCATCTAAATTGTTGCAAAAATATTTTATTGCTATTCTTAAGCTTCAGCTCGTAAAAACTTGTTCAAATGCATTTTGTCGCTTGGCTGCTGCTGATTTTTTTATGATTGTGGTCTGTCTGTATGTCATTTTTCCTGTCTGTCCCACTGACTGGCAGCTGTTCCCTGCTGTTCGTCCTTCGTCCTTGGATTTAAAAAAGATATATGTATATATACACCACATGCCTGCAACAATGTAACTGCGGTTCATTCGGATATTTTGTGCGCCTGTCTGTTTCATTTGTATATGATTGTCCTGTTTGTGGTTATTGGGGTTTTTTCTTCTTTCCATTTCTGTGTTTTGTGTGTTCACACTTTTCCCAATTATCAACTAATTTGCGCTCCCAGAAAAAGATTTTAAGGGGCATTTTTTAATTAGTTTAAAGGCCAGGCGCAACCACAAAAGCCCATTAAAATCAATTGACAGGCAAAGGAACTCCCCCTCCTTTCCCTGAAAGTCAACAAGAAAATTTTGTCACGTACTAACAGCAAATTTATGAACCCAAAATTGGCAGGGCATTAATTGATAAAGTATAAAAAATATTTATATATAGGACCCAGGTGGATGATAAATCGTCTCGGAAAAATTCCCCTTCAAATTTTCTTAAAGAAATTGAAGCACCAAAGTGAATACTTAATGGCAAGAACCGACCCTAATAACATTTTGGGGCTTGCAAGGATGATAGCGACAAGAGGCAAACGAGTTTTCCTGGGGGCTTGTTGTGGTTTTTGTGGTCGGCAGATGGAAAGTGAGAATAAGAAACATTTCTCCCCCTGCTGATGACAGCCGACCAAAGAAGGGGGCAGAATCATGTTGCAGCCCCCGAAACAGTTGTCATCGGATTGTTCCTGCTGCATACGATTGTACAATTACCAAATGGCCATAATTTTGCTCTGACCAAAAACTAGTGACCCTGTTCTTGCACTTGACTTGTTTATGCTGGTCTTGGTCTCCGGCGAATTTATGCGGACAACAGTAGCAGCTTTTGCATAATGAATGGCCAAAAATGGGTTGGCCAGTTAGAGGACCCTCACAATGGCCAGTTGTCGCCACTAGAGTGGGATTCGTTCTCAGTTTCGACATCGCAAATTGACTGCCAGAAAACTTCGCCAGCTGTCAATGGAGTTTAAGGAAAATCAGCTGGAAGTTTTCTACACTTTGCAAACTTTGTGTTGAAAATAAGGAATCTATAATAAAATATCTATAGTATTATTAAAGCATTCAGAAGTTGCTGATAATGAAAACATGAAATAAATAAAAAGAGTTTCACAGTATATTAGAGAATATTTAA